CTATCATCCAATAAATAGAAAACATGATTAGACGAAGTTCAACTCCCGATGTTTTGCAAACATCTCTTAGTATATATCAATTCAAAATTGCCCTTTCACGAAAATCTGCCCCCCCCTGCCTTCACATCGTTCCGGCGTCCCTGACAATATATGTAAAAAATATATCTAACTTATATATCTAAATATATCTATGCTGTAAAGTCTGTTCCTCGCATACGTTCTGCGCAGGCCTACATTCCAATGGTCAGATGACCGAACCTGCATTGAAATGTTATTAATATTTCTTGAATTGAATCTCTAGTCTGTATTCATTTACAAGCATAGCGAATCAGAAGAGTGTTAAAAGTGTTTGTATTGACACGAATTTACATTGTCATTGCATTTCCTGCTTTAGGGAAGCCTCTCATATCGATTCTGTCCACGAGAAACGTCATATGTTCGTTTCTCTGGAGACCCCCCCCCCCCCTCTTAGAAGCGTCACACATAGTTATCGATATTTTGTTCTTATAGATATAGTACACATAAGGTAATTTTCTACTGATTTTCTACGGTCGGCTATTAGCGATACTTCCGCGAGGAATATGTCATCTGCTGCTGACATATCTTTTTTCATTAATATACATGAACTTCAAAATTTCCAACGTTTCTCAAAACAACTTTTTTTGCATGAAATATTGATAATTTTAGCGCGTTTTTCTTAAAATTTGAGTGACTGTTTTCAATGCAAGGAATGCGTAATAATATAAATGTATACGTATATAGAACAGGTACGGTATTACGAATGTAATTTTTTTATTCTGCAAAGATGATTCCGAAATGTCAAGGCTTTCGAAAAAACTATCGAATTTTTCCATAATATTTACTGAGAAACGTCACAGCCCCCCCCCCACCCCACCCCCAAACGAACATATGACGTTTCTCGTGGAAAAAATCGATATGTGAGGCTTCCCTTAGTGCATCAGTGCAAAACCGAAGGAACTATAAAGACATTTCTTTGTGCTTTTCGAAGACATATCGATTATCGTTTAAATAATTAATTAATAAAGATCGTGTTATATACAAATAAAAAAAAAATTTAAAAATTACAAAGTTGGCGGTAAAATAAATCGATTTCGCCGTAACGTAGCCCGCGTGCAGGCCCAAGGGAACTGATAGTATCAGTTCCCTTGGGCCTGCACGCGGGCTAGCTGTAACACAGCCTCTTCAGTACTCCGCCATCTTGTTTTTAATTACTACATGGCAAAAAACGCTGAGCCCGCTGCTCAACAGGATTGAACAATGTTTTGCTGCCCATGTTGTTCACAGTTGTCAACAATATTGAACATATTAGTATTTTTGCACAAGTGAACATAACAAATCCTACAAGTTGATTGGTCAAATTTGACGTATTAAGCTGTTATATTCACCTACAGGTGAAGCTGTTATATTCACCTACATTGGTCGTTCCCCACGTTCATCAGCTTCTTTTCGTATTCTATATGCATTTAACGCAGAGGCTACAACCTCATATCTAAACTTCTTGTCATAACCAGAATATTGCATGCGTAGTAAAAAGTCTTTGACCTTTTTCACTACTTTTTCCCATTGTAACATTCTGCTGCAATTCATCATCACTCGTAGCACTTCTTGGGTCAAAACAGTTCTCTGGTACACCACGGTAGTGCCGACCTCGCATTCACTAATGCTTTCGATGCCACCTCCTTTGCGTAAAACTCCTAGACTATGGCCGACGTAGTTCTTGTTACCCCTTCGATTTCCTTTTCCTGATCTTCTATCCATACTTTCATGTCCAAAATTGGTAATTTCTTGTCAACGTGCTTTTATGGATAGTCTATTTCTAATTCTATAGAATGATGAATATCATCGCCTACTTGCTTGATAAACTTCATTGTCCTTTCATCATCTTCGACCCTCTCCTCTTCCCTTATCATGCTTTGGTCCACATAGCTCTGTCCATTTTTATATTTTAATCCCGGTGTTGTTGCCTCTGCCGCAATGTTAATATCATCTACATACCGTTCATTCAACCTCTGGATACTCCCTATCCCACCACATCATGAAAATTTGTGCCAATATCCCTGTCAACCTTAGCCCCATTGCACCACCTTTACTCTGCTTCCTGATTTCATTATCAAACAAATAGACATGATTTTTTATCACCACCTTCAATATAACTCTAAGAGCTTCTATCAGCATCGTGTTTTTGGTGAATTCGTCTGGTTTCTTTCTAGGAGGATTCCATAGTTCAAGACGCTTCTCTTTCACGTCCTCACTGCCACTAGATGTAATCGTGGGTGGTCGTCCTCTATTCGATTTTCTTTCTGGACAAACCTCAGTGATTCCTAGCTTCTTCACATCTTTAGCCTCCATGGTAAGGGCAAAATTCAGTCCTAGCTCTTCATAGTCCATATCTTCGACCCCAATCTCACTTTCAGAGAACATTTCACACACTTTCTCAATTGTGAAATCAATATCTAAGTTAGGGTAAAGAGACTTCACATCGGCAGATCCAACAATCAAACCACTACTTCGTTGTATCTCGTCGACTTTCTCAATCTGTGCTATCATTTCTTCAGTGTTTACACATACAGCACCGTTCTCCTTCGACTCCACACCTCATTGAGTATGTCGCCTATTACATGCGACAACCTATTACTATAGCAATCGATGACTCCACATACTGCTCTAACTGGGGGGCCTGAAAACTCATTTTGGCGGAGTATTGTGTTATAGCGAAATCGATTTATTTTGCCGCCAACTTTGTAATTTTTAAAAAAAAAGTTATTTGTATATAACATGATTTTAATCAATTAATTATTTAAAGTGTGTCGAAAGAGAAATATAGACGATATGTCTTCGAAAAGCACAAAGTTATCAAGCTCTTTCCTTGCTCAGTGCAACTAGAGAAATTTCCCAAATATAAAGAAATTTCTCACATGTTTTAACACAAAACCGGTTTGTTTTTACTGGTAAATTTGCAGCGAAACAGTTCAACCAAATCGACACGCACTTCGTCAATAAACAACAATATTTTTTTACATGAAAATCAATAAAAAGATTGTTGAAAGAATCTTCAAGGCATTGCTCAATTCCTCAGATTTTCTTGATTCCTTTCCTTTTTAGGGTCACAATTTCCTTGAAAAAGGAAATTTCCTTGAAAGAGTCGGAAACGCTGAGATATATTGTACAGGAAAACCCTGGGGAATTTTCCAATCAGAACAAAAGCTACAGCAACGGACCCTGGGGACCAGGTTGAAGCTACAGGTTTTTTCCGGCTCAGCTAAGCGCAAACTGGCAAGAGAACGCTTATATTTCGACCAAAATATCAGCGATTTTTCATGGCAATGGCACAGAAACATAAATATTTTATATACAATGCCCTTAATAGTTTAAACATATAAATTTCGACAGCGTTTATAGCAGTTTAATAGCATTGAGCCGGGGCTAGGTATCTGCATGTTTACAATTGAACACGTGCACCAATTGTTTCCTAACCAAAACAACAAGATGTTGATTGTTGACTTCCAGTCACAGACACTGGCTTTCACTTTGTCACTGTCCTTCGCTGTTAGTAAACGTACAAGCGTCTTTCACGGACTTTTCTCTTATTTTGGACTACTTCAGAGCGAGTGTGACAGCAAAGATGAGTTCGCATAACAACTATAAAAGCCCCATTTCGGGCATGGATAAATACGGCGAACCACGAATGAGACTAGCCGTTTTACTTCGCGATAAAATTTTGAATAAACTCGACATGCCATGGACGATTGAGAACGGCACGTTGCTTGGCGCTTGGCGAAATGGTGGCTTCATATTACACGACGACGATTTCGACATCGCAATGTTTTCCGATAACGACCCAAAACCCCTAATTCCTTTTATATTGAGGAAGATCAACCAGCTGCTGCCTGCCCCGTACGAAGCGAGATACGTTTCAACATATGCGGATAAAATC